CATATCCATACAGTTCCAGGTAAATTTAATTTAGATTAAAAAACTGTGTCTAAAATAGCCGATAAAAAACTGTTCACGTTTAGCAAAAGATTTAAATAATCTATACAAATGTAGTTGCTAATTTTCAATTTTTTTGCTTAAATATTTTGAAAGAACAAAATCGAAATTAATAAAAACGTTCAAAAATTGGATAAATTAATCTTTAATTGAATTGAAATTAATGAAAGTTTATTATTATACTACCATTATGTGCTTTTTTTAATATTTTATTTCAAAATTTTTACTTTTCTCAGTTAGTTAAAAATTTACAGAAAAAAATTATACAAACATATCATAAAAATTTATTTTCTCTACAGAATTTACAAAAAAGTGCGGAGCGATAATAATGATTTGATAGTTTCTTAATTCCGATTCTGCTATTATTAAAATAAAAATCGGAAATAATTGAGAATTAGCAAAACAAAAAAATCATTGGAAACAATCTGATAACTCATCATTTAGAATTATGCTCATCGACTTAGTTATGCTCTTCCAAAGCAGAAAAATGAACTGCAAAATCCCAAATTTTAACCATTTCGAATAATTCCTAATTATTTTCCACTATTTACTTTATTTCTTTAATTCATATTGGTTATTTAATTATTTACTTATCATTATTTACTTTAATGGAGGAAAAAAATATTTTTGATTTGATAAAATTCAGTGACAGCAACCAATGATTTGTTTGTCTCTTTTCAATTTAATATTGTAAAAATTATTTGAAAGTTGCAGAATTATTTGTGAAACGTAAAAATATATTTGGCGAAAAAAGTTTCTTATGATTAATTTATGTATTTCATCTCGAATGTCTTAATTAGCATTGCATTACATTTCCGGACAACTAATTCATCGTGTAACTGATATAAAACAATGAAGATCATAAAAATCGTGATTGCCCGTCAGTTTTCGATGGTTATAATTATCGATCAAATGTTATGAAATTTAAAATTTCATTCTTTCATTCTAAACGATATATCATGCAGAATGAAGGAAAGTTATATATTGCTTGATGATGAACTACCAATGCCTTTAAACAGACTTTCGACTATTTCAATTGTTTGGTGGTAAGTGAAATTGCTAATATCGTCATTACCTTCCTTAATCTGATATGATAATATGTTCAGAGAAGGAGAGGAAATGATAACATTCTTCCTTTCTTCTTTTATGTTTTTAAAATAATGTTCAGCAAAGCAATTCCGCAAGTTGAACTGCCTAAACCGTTTTGTTCTATTCTATGGGTCCGTGCTACAAATGTTAGAATACTTGGACCCATAAAACAGGACAGAATGTTAAATGGGCTTAGTCATAGAAGCTTAAGAAATTAAGTATGAGTATGACAATTAAATGAAATTAAGAAATTTATATAATTGTATTCATATGTATAAGGCAATTAACTTATTGTGCTTATTATATTCCAGCACAGTATATTATTGAAATTCAATAATTTTTGAAGGTTTTTTTTAATGTTTCAATCATATCATTCCCCTTTTTTCGTTTTTTCTTCCTTTTTTGCCTGATTAATTTTTACAGTCATTTTTAAAATTGTTTTGTTGTAAAAAGACATTTTGCAAAAATTGTTCACAGCGTCAATTATTTTATATTTTCATTTAATCGCTAACTTTAATATCAATTTATTTTGTTCGCAATGTTCATTTTCAATTTCTCACTCATTCTTATTTTTTGCATAAAAACCGGTAATGTTTCTATTGAAGTCGAGTGAAAATATTGTTTGAATTCGAGTTTTAATACAAAATCTGAGTTCAAGTACAAATTGAAAAGCGCATTCCCTCTAAAATGAAAAACTGCAATACTCATAGAAGATCGGGTAATTCTTGAGCAATTTATGATATTTTACTGAAATTGAAAAGTAAAATCTTATTCATTGTATAACGATTCAACGTACGCCGAGATTTGAATATTGAGGTAAATATTCGTTGATGAACACAGCCAAATAGTTTTTTTCTTATAGTTGTTTGAAAATTTTTTCGGCAAATTGTTTGATGAGAAACACATCTCAATTTGCAGATGATCAAAGCTTGTAATTAAGATTTCTGATTAACACCAGTCTGAATCTTTTGACATAAAACATATTTCATATATAGTTAATCATCGCTAAGAAACTTTCGTTTCATTAATCAATCAAAAAATTTTCCGTGTGTTAGCATTGAAAATTTTCAAACTTTATCAGAAATTCACCTCTTTCTAAAAAAGTTGTCAAGAAAAATATTAGAAAAGAAAAAGTGTAATACAGAAAATAAAATTTGACCCCCGAACATTCTCCTTCGTCACTCCATCGATTGGTTATCCTTTCTGAAATATACCACTCATTCTCATTAACAATTCCCGAGATAACGAGAGTGAAAGTAAGTGAAGAGAGAAGCCCGAAAAAACCCATTTGTTTAGAGAGCACAGAGATGGCAGCATTTTTCGAGAGCAGAGGGAAATTTAGCAAAAAAAGCTGTTGCAAAAGGGTAAAGAGAAAAGCATTCTGTGTGCTGAAGACCTGACTGTGTCCCCTACCAAATATAGTATCAGTAATGGTGATATGAATCCCCTCTCCCTCTCTCTCCTCTCTCTCTCTCCCTCCCCCTCCCCTCTCTCCCCCTCTCATGTGTCTTTTCCTTATGGAATAAATCCGAAATGAATGAATGCGTACTCCCCCCACCTTCTCAAAAAAAGAAAAAAGGAACGAAATTGCAAAGGAAAATGCAATATTTCATTATACTGTTAAAGACACAAATCATTGATTGATATCCTTTATTTATCATAATGTAGTTGAAATTGATTATTCAATGTTTAAGATATGATATTGAATGATATTCTTCGCTCATCACAGTGTGTCAATTGTGTATTGTCGAGAATATAAAGTTATTTTTTACCTGTGAGTTGATTCATTGAAACGTAGACAAATAAGTTACACACTTCCGCTAACATTTATGTAATTTTAGAGCTTGAAAGTTTCTCACATGTATGTTTTTTAACTCCCCGTTATCAAATATTTCAAGTAATAATAATTTTAAATGACGCAAACCAATTCTGACGTAAGTGATGTCATCAACCATTGTAGTAAAAATGACGCAGGACTTAGGTAAGGTAAGTTTAGCATCATATAACCTATTTATTCATTTTCTCTAATATTTGAACATACACACACACACACATTCTTGACGATGAATATGTGAAAAAAGAGTGAATTAATTGATAATGTTGAACCAAAATTTATTAACATAGGCCAATGATAATAATCCCGTAATATCGCACGATTAAAATAAAATAGGTAAAATAAGCGTAGAATACAAGGATAATTTACGTGATCCATTAGACATTCTCAATCATCTTATGGACAATCCATTCCCATTGACAATCCGATGATGAAACGATGAGGCATTTTTCCAGGAAAAAGAACAAATGATCATTATTTGGAAAAAAAACATAAAATATAAACTCCATATAGAAATGTCAAAAAATATCTTTTGAAAAAAAAATTGCATAATTCTAAATAGATTTATCGGTGCTTAATTTTTTATAATGAAAATATACGCTCATTGAAAATCGATCGATCAAGCAAGAAATAATTGGTTCTTGATAATTAATTTATTAAAAGACAAAAATAGTTCATTTTCCAAAACAATCAATAAATATAAAATTTGAATTGAACTAATTTTATGTGTAAATAATTGTAGTATATTCATTATTTCTTGATGCGATGAGTATGAATTTTTAGGAACAAAAAACGAATACTAAATGGTCCATCGAACTGTCCGTTCTGCCCATTTCATTCAATGCATCCATTTTTTGATATATAACGAGAAAGAGAAATCAGTACCATACCGGGAATAATATAAAAAATTGAAACAGAAAAAAAAAACAATAAATAAATGACCGTTTTCCCCGGTATGCATGTATAGAATACATACGTATATATAAATATAATACAAATACCTGACTTTAATTAAATTAGATATTTTTTTGAAAACTATTTTCATAACAATGCAAAGTGAATAAAACGAGACGATGTAAATATGACGAGTAAAAAGGGATGATTCATACCCGGTCGAAGATAATTAACAATCATAATCATAATTATGTCATAATAATATGAAAATGATAATGAGGATGCTGAGAGTGCACGAAATGAAAAATTCATTAAAGTTAATACGCATAAAGACACCAAAATAAAAATGTACATGCATATTTTACGTATGAAAATTAGTAATTGCCAAAATATGCCATGAAAATACAATTCAATTCTTCTAATGTGTTCCGGAAATCTTTTCTTTCAGTAAAAGAAATTATAAAATTAAAATCAGTATTTCAACATCAATTATGCAGTCATGCATAAAAGCATAAATTAACTATTATAATTAACTGTTATATTATAATCTATTGAAAAATGAATAAATTCTTTAATTTTTTTCTTTTCCCATTGAATCGAAAATACTGTCTCATAGATGAATCCCCCACATCCAATTTCTATTACGTCTCATTATTAACATATTTCACAATTTTATCAAAAAAATACATGCATATATTTTTTAAATTTACACGTTTTACCAACAGTTATCTCAGTCTGAGAAAATCGTATAATTTCAAAAAGTTAAAATATGATATTTCAAAAGTGCGGAGAGAACTTCAAACTTGTGGAATATTCTAAAATCTCCATAAAATAAATTTTATAAAAATTAGAAAAAAAACAATAAACAAATGCAAAAAGCTCTATAAAGCTTAAAAGAATGCATTGATAGAGAGAGAGAGAGAGAGAGAGAGAGAGAGAGAGAGAGAGAGAGAGAGAGAGAGAGAGAGAGAGAGAGAGTGTGGAAAAAAGAGAATTAAATATAATTTAAAAAGTTTCAGTTGAAGTTAGAAGAAAAGAACAAAACTGGATCAAAAGGAAAAGGAGAAATCAAAGACAACCAACAACATCTCACATCTCACACTCGCGGAAAGATACAGCGATCAGTTCAGCGATGCTTTTTTGTTCGATATTTCCACGAATGGCGACGAGAACGTTTCATTTGATTTCTTCTTCCCATCAATTTCTTCGTTTCAACTTTTTGCTGTTTGCAGTCATAAATGCGGCGACAAAAGTATACCTGAATTCAGTAAAGAATTCATATAATCTAAAAGCAGAAGCAAGGAAAAATGAAAAGGAAAACTTGAAGCCAAGCTTTAATCTCATTGGGAAATGATGGAATTAAAACTAAAAAAATCATTTCCTTTTAATTTAAACGAACTATCTTAACAAGTAGAATTTGCTGAAATCAAAAACTGAAATTAAAGTGAAATTTAACTGCAGATTAATTTACCAGTTCAAGTGGTGTATCATCGCGTGGAAGATACATCCGTCGTGGATAATCATCTTCACCTTTCTTCCACAGTAAGTCTTCTTCACTTACACGTTGCGATAGTGGATATGTGTCATTTCTTGTTTCAGCCATAAATCTAGATTTAAAAAAGAAATTTAGAAAATCTCAAAATTCAGAAAAAAAATTAATAACTGCAAGAAATCAATAAACATAATATGGACAGAAACGGATAGGAAAAATAGAAGCTTGGCAGAAGTAAAAATGTTCACGTGTTGCATGTCACGTACACCTACCGGCCATATTCATTATACGTTAACACCCATATGATTTCATCCACTGCATCAAGCGCTATGACATCCATATGTTTTGAAGCAAGCAATTCACGCTCGAATACCGGTGGTACTAATGAACTTTTCACTTGCGTTGGGGTGTAATACCACAGTACTGATGCCAAAGGCGCTCCTGAAATTAAATTTTTCTCCTCTGAATAAAGTTGTACTAGGATGGAATTTAGAAATTCGTTAAATACTGTAATGAAGAACGGTCAACTATTTGTGAGAATCGCATTCAATCATTCTTATTCTTATAAAGTAAGTTAAATGTAAATAAATTTTCAGTTTATTTTTATTCACTTTAATTTATTCCTCCGAATTTCATTTCTAAAATTTTCAAAAATTTCTTTACCTGTTTCTTGATCACTGAACAGGCGACAAATGCATGCAAAATTTGGTTCACCACCAATGGCATTTACAAGTACGGAATCACGAAGTCTCAGAAGATCACCGGTCTTGGAATGTATAGCTTGTGGATAGCATATTCGTGTGGTCGATTGCTTTTCATGGAAAAAATACTGCAAAATAATGACGACATTTTTCTCACGAAATCTTATCAAATGATCTGTAAAATTACAGTGAAATTTTAACACCAAAGTGATAAATCTGAAACGGTGATCAAAAAAAAAAACTTTTTATTAAAAAGTTTTTCGATAATGAAGGTTTATTTTCTTCCATAATATATATACTAAAGCAATGTTTTGAAAATGAAATAGAAATTTTGAACAAAAACTGCTACAAATTTTGGCTTACGTCAACGTAAACGGAGCTTTCATAAGGAGATCCTATTAATTTCCAATTCGAATTGAAGTTATTCTTTCTAATTCGTGATGAACCACGTCTTTTTCCCATTTTTGTTATAACTGTAAATCCATTCGATCCACTGGAAGTACTGGCTCGGCTACTACCGGCTCCTGACCAACGACGCGGTCGTACCGAGGTATTTCTCAGATCTTCCAGTGTCACCATCAATTCATTATTCAGTAATCCATTTATTTCAGCCTAAAGTAGTACCGCAAATATTCTGTTAAAAAATTCAAGACATTGAAATTATTGGACATTTTTCAGTTATTTCACTATTTCTGCTACTTCTCATTTTTATTTGATTTTAAGTAGAAGATACATTTTTCTTGAAATCTTTATAGTTAAGGAAAAATTTTTCTAAAATTTCAAATTTATACAAACTTTAAAACTAATCTTTTACATACAATTTATACAGAAAATGTGAACATGTAAATGGAATCAACATGCATACGTTCGTAAACGAAAAGAAACCTTTAAACGTTTACTGCGTAATTTTGTTTCTTTATTATCATCCTTGGATTGTGATCGTTTCCGCTTCATTCCTCCATTCGACTGTGTGGGACAGTAAATACTTCCCACCGAAAATGTATTATTATTTGTAAAATTGGTCGGAAACTTTCCTGACTTTTTCCGTTTTGATTTTTTCAGAACTGCTTTCCTGTTAGTTGATTTCGTAGCAGCCATTTTTACCGTAAAATCGTGATTGATAACCTTGGTAGAATTATCATTAATAACAGTATCATTAGTAATTGCAATCTTTGGTATGCTTGCTGCGATAGTAGACGAACGTAGTACACGTTTCGGACGATCTTCTTCCTCAAACTGTCTTAACAGTTTTGGATCGAGCGACGGCGTAAGTGATCGCTTGAATGACGGATTTGCTGAGCGTTCACGTGGAAGAATATCTTTTTCCTTAATTTTTGGTTTTTTCTCTTTATCAGTATTTTGATTTAAGCATTTCGTTAATTCTTCATCAATTTTTTTGTCGCGCACAGTACCATTTGAATACACGTCCTTCTACAAGAGGAAAGAATTGATTATTATCATTAACAGTAATTTATCAAATAATTCTATTATATTATCAAAGACGAATCAATAATTCCTACATATAACACTTTGTCATTAACAAAAAACGTATACTTACACTCCATCAAATTGACTAACATTTGCAAAATTGATATAAAAACAAAAACAAGAAAAAAGGATAATAAATATTGGAATTATAATAATAACACAAAAAAACCCTTCATTGTAATAAAAAATAATCGGAAAAATTAAAAATTTTGGTGCATAAATAAAAAAGAAAAATGAATACATTTCGATGTTGTAAACTGCTTTTGTTGTTGTTGTTGTTGTTAATGATAATTTTGCTATTCACTTCGGTTGCCACGATATTTCCAAACACCAGATCTTCGATTTTCAAACTTTTCAATACATTAATCTAAATTTTACAAAGTGAAAATAGGCGAGTTTGTTTGAAATATTTAATCAGTCCAAAATTTAATTATCGAAGGAACACTGTCATAGAATCGACTTTCTTCTGCTGAAAATTGTAAATTTTCAACAAAAAAATAAAATGTTACAGATTCTAATGAGAAAACTGATCAATTACATGAAAAGAGAGAAAGAAAAAACCTAGTAGATTAGAAAAGCAAGAGAACTGATACTCACGCTTAACAAAAATAATTGCTTCTTAAAAATCTTAAAAAAAAAGAAATTAATAATTCATATTTATGACATTGCATATGACATAATACAGTGAAATCATAAACTCATGGTTGAAATATCTATCATAATTATTATTAATAATTGAATGAAATCAGTTAAACTTCGAAGAGAAAAGCATTTTGTTTAATTTATATATATATATATTTGAAATTTGAAAGTCACTTTCAGAGTCATTCAATATAATGAAAAGTTCAAAGATGGATTCATGATGAGTGCGCGTTTCAATCAGATATTGCTAAAAAGCAATTTAGTGCAACTAATGAATTCAGTCAAAAAGAACGGCTATAGGAAAGCATGTCATTATTGGTGGATATAATTAGAATCAGGTAGGAGTGAAATTATTAGGGTAAATTTAAGTTTTCTCTTCCAAATAACTAAAATTTAAATCTCGCCAGAAAAGATAACAACTTATTGGAGGAAATATAAGGGAAAAAGCTAAAAGAAAGACAGACAAACAAAAAAAACAATAAGAAGCTGAATCGATCAAAATCGATTGCTGAATAACAATTCTTTCAGGCTAATAGGTTGGCTAACTTGTTATTGCTGTCCCGTTTAGTTTTGTTTACCAAAGTGGAAATATGAGGCTTTCTTTTTCGCGCACGAAACAGCAAAAGTAATAATATGATGGCAAAAAGATCAATGAATTAAGAAATAAATCGATGTCTAAAAATCATGAAAAAATATTCAAACCATCGGCAAGGCCATTTTACCATTAATAAAATACTATGGATGATGATGACGACAATGACGATGTGAATAATCAGGATCGGATGAGATATCATGATCAAGAGTGGATGATGGTTGCTGATAGAAAAAAATTTTCGAAAATTAACCTAATGATTGGTATGTATATTATATCATACATCTCAAATGAGTTAAGATGAATTAAAACTTAGGCCGACAAAATGTAAAAGTATCTCATTTAAAAAAAAAATTTAAAAAATCGAACAAACAAAATTCTAATGCAATCTATCAAGTCCGTTCATACTGGCGTGTGAATGTCAGCAAAATGGAGCTTCTAAAAAATGCCATTTTTCATTCTTGATTGATTTTGATGACATTAAGATAGGGTACGATGAACTTCTTTTCCATTCCTATTATAGGAAATTTTCACAAGAATTTTTACATATCAAATTGAAGCTAATCTATCAGAAAATTATCGTTGAATATTGATTGATGTAGAATGATATACTGGAATAATCATTTCGTAATTTCTAGAAAAAAATCAAGCATAGTGATAAGTGCTTCTCTCTCTTTCCAATGGGAAAATAATAACTGAAAGGTGAAATATATAATTCATAGAGTGTGACCTAATAAATCATCTAAAAAGTTTTTGTATTTATCGCTTATTTCAACCCTTTGAGTCTATTGACGTAAGGGAGGGAATGATTTAACAATGGTACATACGCCAAACGAAAAGCATAAACAACTATCTTTTACCGCGGTGTTTTCATCACTGATCAAAGATTATACCCATTTTGGCTCATCTGACATCAACAATGCAATTTGAATGGATCACCGTGTCATCCTCGTTCACCACATCTCACTTCACTTTACCTTATCTTACCTGACTAATTCATTTTCATTGTCTCTTCTTCTATTATACACGCATACTTCCAAATCAATTAATAAAGAAAATCTTTCGACTTTTTTCTTCTTGAAAAAAATGAAACTAGTATGTATGTACGAAAATATGGTAAACTTTAGAAATCAGTCAAATTTTTAAACAATGAGTTAGAGTTGAATTCATTTATCATATCGTTGTTTTTATGTTACTCTTCTCTTTTTCGCGATAATGCGAACGATTAAGATGCGAATTTGTCAAATTTAATATTAAGTCAACGCGTAAGTCAATTCAGTGTTTAATCGTCTAAATGTATTTCGCTCCGAATTCATAACTTACTTCAATGGATGACAATAATATTTTGTATAGCAACTTTGAGAAAGTTGAGAAAACTTTGAAAAAACTGATCCAAGCATTAAGCAGTATCCAAATGTTTGTTTAAACTAATTATCGTAGAAAATATAAAATGTTTTTATAAACAAGAACAAGAGGAGAATGAAAGCTAAATTTTTGTAAAATTTATTTTCAAATAAAAAGAGAGTAAGCAAATTTTTTTTTGTAAATTTCTTGCCTCTACAACACAATTCCTATATCTCTCAACATAAATAAGCAACTTTTCTACATTATTAGTATGAATCACTTTAGTAAATTAACTGATAACAATTTTATGTTTGCTTACCAAGGATATCTGTACATTACGATAAAGTACTGATAGCGTATCAATATCGCTGGCATCTAACTGATTGGTAATTGTAATTATCACTGTTAGAAAAAGCTAGAATATTTACTGCTTTTGGAAATAAAGAAAAAGACCATATAATCTATACAAAAAAGATATAAAAGATTTTAAACTAATTTGGAACATCCCAATATCCACCAGTAAGATGTTTCCTGGGAAAGGGGTCAACAGAATTTTTGGGAGTTAAAGGAGAGAATTTTTTGATACTGAAAGATACTTTCCCATCAACGGTCAACAAGTACCGTTGAGACGTTCAGATATTAACTAATAAGGATTTCTTGATTAACAATTTAAAAGAAATCTGACAACTGTGGTGAAATAGTGGGCTAATAAGAATAACATCCTTTTTCTCTTATAAATGTTTAAGCTTTTCGGACATAAATATTGTTATCAACTGATAATCTTTGATAACCGTTAATATTAAACTTTCGCTTGTAAATAATTATTGTAAGTAATTAGCAATAATTTTAGTTTTTCAGCTATTTGTGATATAAAAGTTATGTAGAAAAAAAATAAACAAAAAAGTTTAAGGGAAATTAGGAAATGTAGCGACAGGACAAAAAAGTCTTTTCTTTCAAATAGTTACAATTAATTTAATATATTCTACCTAAGTATTTATCGATAGGCAAATGTGAAAAAGGAGAATGAATAGCATATTTAAAATCTTTAAATTTAAGCATTAAGTATAAATTTATAAAACATTAACCGTTACATTGTTACACTAACAGTTTAGGGTTTGAAATTTAAAAAATTTAGAAGAAAAACGCTGAAATAAGGAAATATGTTTTTCTAAATTATGTAACTTTTATTGCAGTTGAAGTTGAACGATTCAAATTTTACCAAATTAGGATAATTTCGAGCTGGCTGTAGTTTGAAAGTTGAGAAAGCAAAAAAAGAACCAAAATTTTAAAAACAAAAACAGACCTCTTCACTTGCTACTTTAACTTCATCCGTGCTATCGTCTTTTCCACCTGTCTCCTCGCATTCAGGCCTATCGCTACTGGAAGTTGTCGTCGAATTCGAAAATAAAGTTTCAATTTTTGTAAAATCAAATGCGGGTGCTTCTGATGATGCTATCACTTTTACAGATTTCTTCGAACTTTGATCATCCAGTTTGCCATATCTGCAAGATTCGATAGTCTTTTTGCATTCAAATGGCGTTTCCAACCCATCATGCTAATCTCAAATCATTAAAAATACAATCAAAATACAAAATTCACCCGGATGAAATATCAGGGATGATAAATAAAATCAAGAAATACATGAAATTTTAAGCAAAGAAAATCCATAATATTCTTCAGCAAATTTCCAAACCTGATGTTTTATTTAATTACCACTATTCTCTGGAAATGAATAAATTCAATTTTAACTCAAACATTATACAATGTAATCCGTCTAGCTGTATTAAATTTCATGCAACTTAAATGCTGAATGATCGAAAAAAATCTGCTAAATAATAAAAGAATTACCAAGTGGTTAAGGAAGCTAAATGGTCAGTGAACGATCAAAGAGATGAAAGAAAAGTGCTAATTGGTCAACGAGCGGTAGTTCTAATCAATAAAAGCATTTTGAAAGAAATATTTAGCCAGAAATAATCGGTAAAACATCGCATCCTATCCGGAAAAGACGATTATAAGTAAAAAATTATATATACCCATTGGTATCAATAACTGCTGCTTTGTTAGACATCTGAACAACTTCGGTCCAGTCTGGTACTGTTGGCTGTACTTCCTCCTCATCATTTTCATCAACAAACCGGAACTGTTCGTTGTGCTGTTCCGGTAGATTCCGTTCCATAGTGGTACTTCCCTCCTCGCTAATTACCAAATTAGGAGCGACATCGACAGCTGTTGTCATTGTCGATGTTGGCACTGTTGCCGTTGTTATCATTTTTTCACCATACAATTTCTTTTCCTTTCTTTTTTCCTCTTCTTTTTCACCTAAACGGAAAACAGTAAAATAAAGTAAAATGTTCAGAAACGATATGGCATAAATTTTTCAACGATACATTTGAAAATGAATGAAGTTTATAACGAAAATCAAGTTTCGATATTGCAGAAATTCAACTTTGAAATATAATTGTTGCAAAATTTAAAATCTTTTATTTTCAAATTAATTCAAATTTGATTTGAAAATCAGGATTTTGATTCAAATTTTATTTAAAGATTTGGATAAAAATTTTATCACCTAAACAAACACATACAATACACATGCAGAGAGAGAGAGAGAGAGAGAGAGGAAGGATAAAGAAAAAGAAAGGAAGAGATAAAGAGAGGGTAACAAAGATATGTGATCGAAATAGTGGCAATGAAAATAATGGCCTTTTCAAAAAGGCTCATCCCAAAAAATATTGACTCATTTCAGTAGCCAGCAATGAAGGAAGGAGGAAAAAGAAAGATATAAACTTATCTTTTTTAAAAAAGAATTTTTTAGACACCGAATGAATTAATTCTAATCATTTATACATTCCTTATTATGTTACTTAAATTAGCTTTCATTAGTTAAAGGTTATTTGATTGAACAAATATTTGGAATTATGTCAAATTTCGAAAAATACACCTGAATTAGTTTTTCTTTGGAAAAAAATAAAACGAAGCGATGAGAACAATTTGAAATTAAAGAGAGAGGGAGAGGAAGAAGGAGAGAAAGAGAGAAAAAAGTGAAAGAAAAAACAAAACAGATTTGGAAGACAACACTTTTGGTAATCGTGATATCATATAAATTTTATTAATTGTTTTGATTTTTTATACTATGAAACTTACTAAAACACTAACAAATTCCTGATGATATGATGGCCAGGGAGCAGGTATGAATGGATGGAGGAGGACAGACGACACTTTTAGTTTGCTTCTTTCGGCAGCATGAAAACTTCCTTCATCTTCTTTCCCTCCTATATGTATGAGTTACACCTTACAATTAATTGATTCCAATTTCAATCTTTACTTATGATATTAATACTTCCTCTTTATAAAAACAGATCACGTTGTAGCTAATTATTATTGAATTATGTAATTAATTTATTAGCAATTCTTGACAACTGTTATTCTTTATTAATTCAAAATGTTCACTTCTTGATAAACTCCTTATCCTCTACGAATAACGATTCGTCTGTCCAAATTATATCATATTTATCAATTACTCATATTCTTAAATCTCGTAAGATGATAAATTATTTTTTAATAACTGAAGTTTACCTAGTTATAGTTAATACTTGTATGTTATATTGAATTTTCTTTTGCTATCAGTAATTAAAGTTCAGTTAATTTATCATACCACTCAAATTATAAATAATGCATGGTAAGATTCATCCGTTAATTATCAGTATGTCATAAAACTTTTGTTTTTTGGTACTTCAAATATATACGTATAAAACTGGTGGAAGATAAATGAGGGAAAGTCATTATTCTTTTATCATTATCATCATTAAGCATAATGCGCTATCGAAAGGTTAAGGATGGATTATTTCAATGAGAGAATTGTCTCTTCTCTGAAGTCTTTAATAAGAGATAAAACGGAAAAATTGTTCATCAAAAATATGCCAGATCGCAAGTCAAAGGTCATAAAAGTACTGGCTCATAAATCTGAACACAAAATAAGGTAAAAGTGCCAGAAATTTGTTTAAATTCTTATTTCATTTTCTTCTTTTCATGCCGAGAAAAAGAAAAAGGAAGAGTAAATCTAAGTTTTTTCAGTTATGAAAGACGCTCAAAAAAGTACACGTAATTCGTAAATTTGAAATTTTAAACTAGCAGAGCATTAACAATTGGACATAACTGTGCAACATTTCTCTAACAACGATTTGTCTACACTGATAAATAGTCGGTCAATTTCATTTTCTTATTATTAATTCCTAAATTATGTATAACCCAAAATACTTCCATATTTAAATTAGGCTCAATTCATAAAACTATTAGCAATTATCGTTTGAATAAAAAATAGAGCAAAAAAGAATTATATAGATGAGAATTAGTATTGAAAGTATGGATATTATGTTTATGATTTTGTTTTTGGAATGAAAATTATACAAAATTTTTTTCCCTCATGCACTTCAATACATCAAAAGTTAATTTAATAATTATAGGAAAAGTAATGTTTTTAACCTCGTTCCTCAGATAGTCAAATATTCGCTTGCCTTACTTCCATTCCATCCTACGATCCGCTTGCCGCCCGCCTGTCCATCCCATTAACCTCCCCGTTCGTTCGTCTCTCCGTCCGATGGAAAGATAAAGCAATGATAAACAAAAGTGCACACTTAACTGTGGAGACACTCACACATCATCACATGAGAATTGAAATCCTTGGAAAAAAAATTTCCATAAAATCGCATTTCTTGCCACGTAACCGCGGTCCTTCATGACGTGCCACCATCAATGATAAATAACATTTGACTAACATTATTTTCTCATTGTTAAATATCAGATAAAATGTAATATCTTTATCAAATTAGTGAAAATTTGTTTTTTTGCAAAAAATGAAAAAGAGAGAAAAGGGAAGGAAAGGAGTGGGAAAAGCTTCTTTATCTTCTCTCTTTTTTAAAATGATAACTGACTTATCTCCGTTACAA